AAGTACTGTATGTTACAGATTATAAAGTTATACGTAATAAATGTAGGAAAACAGTAAAAACATTAAACATTTGGGTTGAAAAAAATTATAATTCAAGTTGTGAAAAAGTATGACTTCTAAATAGCACTTTCTGTAGAATGATTTGCTATTTATATCGCTAAAGCAGTTACCAAAAAGTGTGGGGTATTTCACACAGCTCAGATACCCATACTATGCATGGACACCATAATAATAATAATATATAACAAATAGTGTAATAAAGCACCCTGTCACCAATTAAGCACATGAGTGAAAGCCTATCATTAAATCTCAAGTACCACAATAAAACCCATTATCTGAAAGGAAAAGTTGACATTATGCAAAATGCATATCAACAACCATATGTTATTTATGAATAATGTACACTGAGTGTTGTGAGACGAGGCTTTGGAAGTGGAATTTATAATCACATTGACTTATAGACCATCACTGGTACTTTAGAAGCAAATACCTATAATAACAATAATAACAACAAATTGTTGTCTTTACCTACGATTCCAAAAATGCAACTTTCAAGAAAATCAGTAAGTGTTAGCCAAAATTGTCTGTGAATACTTAATTGGATTTGGCAGGTTCTTAAACAACAGCACAATCCTTTGAACACACCGTAGTCAAGTCAAGTTATACAGTAGAGCAGCTTCTCAGTCAAATGTCAGAATCAATTATGCAAACTTCAAAAAATTAGGCAAATCTAAACTTTGCTGTAAAGCAGCTCTAGCTCAATAGTAAAATTATATTTTGAATTCAAATGGAAAAGTTTGTTTGAACGGTGATGAGCTTGACTTACGAATTTGGCCATTTTCTTATCAGTCAGGTCATCACATCTTCAACATCCTTCTCGAGTCGACCAGAGAAGGATTTGGACGCAGTCATCAAAACAAGGAGTTGATGTTGAGGCACTTGAAGGGAATGATGCATCTGAGCAAAAACAGGAGACACATCTAATAAATGTTCAGACAAGAAAAAAATACATTTATGATTGTTAATACTTATTTTATATAAAGATATGAATTACAATTATATGATCTGTAATTTATTAATGGAAAGTAAAACTATTGTTTGTTTGTTTGTGTTTAACGCCATTCCAGCTTCTATGCCTATTTTCATGGCGAGAAATATTATGGCTGAATTATATCATGTTTTTATCATTTATTTTTGCTAAAAACTCCAAAACTGTATTTGGATTAACTCTGTTAAAAGTCTGTTCAAAAGAGTTAACTGAAATAAAAAATAAAAATAAAACAAAATCTCAATGAGTTAAAACCAGCACAATCTAATAAAACATGCTTAGTGGATAAACGGATTTGGCAGAGAGAACATGTTGGAGGATCTTCCTCTAGTATTAAACACTTGTGTGTCATCCTGGAATGACCAGTTCTACAGCGAGTATAAACAATCTAATCCCATCGGTTAGAAAATTGATAGAAAATTATTTTTCCAACATTGGGACTAATTTCATTCACGTTTATTCATTGTATATAGATCCCACTCTGTTTGCCATTTGTTATTAACACAGAAACAAATTATTGGTTTTAAATCCATAGGAGGTACAGCACAACATTTTAGATCAGCCAATAACACTTCTTTTGCAGCAGAGTCGGCTTCCTCATTTCTTTCAATTCAAAGGTAAAATTATAAACTATAGACCAAGTGTCCAATAAAAACTGAACTCTTTCAGATGAGATGGTATCAAATGCTACAATTAGTCAAATTAATAGCATTTTTACTACTGCATTAGCAAATAATGCTATAATTCATATTTTAGTGAATAAGCACAATCCAGAAACTAGACTACTGACAAGACAAATATTATTCTTCATATATATATATATATATATATATATATATATTCTTCATTCGGGGAAGTATGAACTGTATCACAAATCTAATTAAAAAATGAATTATATATATATATATATATATATATATATATATTCTTCATTCGGGGAAGTATGAACTGTATCACAAATCTAATTAAAAAATGAATTTAATATTTAATTTTCATTATCAACCCAGTATAGACCTAATAAACCCCTTATGTCGCTCATACACTACAAAGCCTTAAAAAGTCAACAACTGTCTGTCGTCGCCGATTTCTAATAGACAAATTAATGTTTTGAAAATGATCAATTGCTCAACGATTAGTTCCTCCGTGAGTTAATTCATAAAACTGCGATATTAATTCGAAATACTAACGTTATACACTACGAAATTAAATAAATATACTGTTACCTTGCTCTCTCTTTCTCTAAAGTGATTTTTCTGACCTGTTTCTTTCAAAAAAGCTCACAAATCACAAGTGTCTCTGAGACAGCGCTTCGGTAAAATCGTATTTCATAAAAATGCAGCCTTACTTCGAAATGTAAAGTTACATTACATTAAGAGGATTGTCATGTTCGCGTGTGCTCTCCGAGGAAATAAAATTTGCGCCTGACTGGCGTTTACGTGAGGACGTACAGTGCGTGCAGCATGTTTAAGTTATAGTATTTCAATTATATTTAACACAGCAACAGGACAGATTTGTGTGCTGTTCAGTTGTGAAATTCAAGCACGCGGCGCGCCTATTTAGAACGTCAAGGGTTAAAAAAAATAAATAAAAAAAAAGACCGTCAAGGGTTGCGGTCACGTGACATGGTTGTGTGACGTCACAGAGCACAAAACGCACAAGCTGAAGCTTGGAACTAGAGTTAAAGCGAATTTTGTGAGTGAGAGCCAGTGTAAAGTATTGACAGAAAGTGATTCTACTAACTGAACCGCTTTAGTAGATAGACAGTGTACAGACACTAAGTCTATTTAGACTTACACAGAGTGGCATTTTGAGACAAAACAGAGGCACTGATGTATTTTAAGATCAGTCAGTGCAAGTTTCTTTCAGTTAAAACAGCTCAGACTTACACTTTAGTCTGGGACTAGGCTTAAGCCTGGTCTGTGAAACCGGGGGAGTGTGTTCTCGGTTTATAACATAATCAAACAGAATGTCCAAGACATCTGTGTTTTTCACTGAGTGCAGTGAAGTTGAGAGAGAAAGTGTGGATAGGCTGGAGATGATCAGTCTTACCTCAGACATAATGTATGACTCTGTCAGCATCGAAGAGGTGACAACTGACAAAAAACCTGTCGAGACAACAACAGGAGGTTCAGGGAGCGTGAGCTCAGATAATCAAGGTGGCATGAAGGCTTGTCCTACAGACAGTGTGGAGAACAGCCCAACAGGTGAGCTGGTTTTTGCAGGTGCATATGTTGCAGAGAAAAAGGTATCTTTGTGGTGTTCTTGGCCTCATTTAGAAAAGAACTCTCAGCATTTCAGTACTATGAACTTACATTTCTTTAATAAATGCATCAAATAAAAGCAACATTTATTTTTCAGGAATTGATTTGTATTTCATCTGTAGTCAGAGATTCTTAGGTTACTATTCATTTTTCTTTATTTTAGAAAAACCTGCAAAAGGGAGGAAGATGAAAGAAGTCTGTGCTGTCTTTCGGAGAGTATGGAAGGCTGTAAAGCGCCCTTTCCATTGCTGTGATCCAAACAGTGTGGTGTGTCTTACACCGCAGCCGGAGCAAGATGATTCAGAGCTAATGCCTGCCCCAATTCCCTTCAGAATCACACCGACGGCTGACACAGATGCTGCTGACCCTGAGCTGGTGCGTCTGCCAGGCCAGGTCTGTGAAGATGTTGAGTCGTTGTGTGTGCCAGGTCCCTCCTGGACTGAGCAAACACTGGACACAGATCTGGCCGATCCTGAGTCGTCACCTGTGGCAGATCCGTCCAGTTCTGATCTGGGTGATGGTTAGTCTTTTTACTTTGGTTTATGTTATTTCTACCATCTTTTATTTTCTATGTTCTATTCTCTATTATTACTTGCAGTTGTAATTCTGATTCACTGCATGTAACTTGTTTGTTGTACTATTTTCACTTTTAATAGTTTAATTTTTCTTCATTTTAGAAAAACCAAAAAAACAGAGGAAGAGGAAAGGAGTCCTTGTGTTCTTCAGGAGATTCCGTAAGGCTGTAAAGCACCTCTTCCCCTGGCGTGGCTCAAAGAGAGTCCAGCATTCTACACCACAGGTGAATCTAGACGATTCTGAGATGAAGTTAGTAGAAGCTAACAGGTCTGACCAGGTCTGTGCAGCTCTCCAGTCCCCATCTGTGCAAGCGGCCAACCCAGGTCCAGCCACTCCAGCATTGTCACGTGTGTCAGATTCATCGGATTTGGACAATCTGGATTGTGGTGAGTCATTATTACCTTTGTTTCATGACATTTCTGCCCTCTGCTATTTTCTGCATTTCTTTCTGCTTATCATTATTTAGACTGTAAATCTGATACTCTAACTTCCCTTAGAGTAACTGACCTGATTTACCTGATTTATTCGTTTTTTAATACTCTTTAAATGGATCTCTTTTGATCATATCAGACAATGAAAGGAAACTGATGTATGGCCATTTTCTTTTTCCTGTCTGTTTTTCAGGATCTAGAGTGTCTCTCTTTGTAGTGGGAGAGATTGTAGGATGTGGAAGTTTTGGCGTGGTGTATGAGGGATCCCACATATTTAGTGACAGAATTAAGGTAAAGCACTTTTATTGACTTGTACCAACATTTTGCTCCAGATGTAGAGATGTGTGTCCTCTGTCTAGATTTAAATACATTGTAGATGTGCATGTCTGGCACTTTGGTATGTTTGGAAAACTTAACTGTGTTTTTGCCATTCACAGGTTGCCATGAAGTACATCCACAAGCGCCAAGCTGACCGTTATCTTGACGTTGTAAGTTGAAAAATCTAAGGAATATTTGGTTGATTGAGTGACTATTGTTATAAATACCTGTAGCTAACATAAAGCAGAAATGAAATAGACAAAGATTTAAGTGCAAATTTAAATACAATGATATTCATCATTCTACCTATCTTTTAAGTAATGGTTTACTCAAAGCCAACTGTTTGTTTTTCTCTAGGCTGGTCATTCCAAACCTTTGCTTGCAGAAGTGGCAATGTTGCTTCGGTTGGGACAACCTCCATTATGCCCCAAAGTCATCAAATTGCATGATTGGATTGAGAATAAGAGGAGCTTTGTGCTCATAATGGAGTACCCAGAACCATGCCATACCTTGAATCAACACATCATGTATTCAGACAACATGAATGAAGGAAAAGCATGCTGGTTAATCTGTCAGTTAATCCAAGCTGTGAAACACTGTTTTGACCGTGGAGTCTTCCATGGTGATATCCACACAGGGAACATCCTGTTGACTGACCACAGTTTAGAGCTCAAACTAATTGACTTTGGTTGTGCTCATCCAATCAGCAGTGAGGGCAATCTCAGCAGTGAATATCGAGGTATGTTTCGTGTTACCATAGCAGAGTGCAGTGTCATTGATCACGGTATTGTCTTTTTGATAACAGCATTGCTCAACGCTAAAAATGTTTCTCTCACAGGAGCACCACTCTGCACCCCACCTGAGGTCATAAGGAATATCACATTCCACGCTAACCCAGCATATGTCTGGGCAGTAGGTGCTGTGCTCTTTGAAATCTTGCATGGATATTTGCCCTTTGAAAGCCAAGATAAAATACTGCGTGGCTACGTTCAAGCAAAACCGACTTTATCCTCAGGTAAACACAACAGACACCTCTTTGCAATCTCTGAGTCTCAGTGTCAGACAGGAAATGTATGTCAGACAGGATATGACAGGAAGTCTAGCAAGTAACAGATGTTCACTGATGGGACTGTTGACCGAATTATTTAATTTGGTATATTTATATTATCAAATCATGAAATCTTATATGTTAAAACATTTCAGAAGCTTTTTCCTATGTCAGCATTGATGTTGAGTAAGACTAACACACACTCTCTCTCTGAAAACTTTACAGCATGCCGTGACCTGATTTTCCAGTGTTTGATCCGCAATCCAGCTAACAGACTGATGCTACAGCATCTAGAAGAGCACAGGTGGTTTAATAACTAGACAGCGGATCCCGTGCATCAACCAGACAAGAAAAGGTAGTGTAAGACACAGAGTAGGTATTAAATTGTTTCTCAGTCCCCTCTTGCACATGGGAAGAGTCATGTACGTGAAGACAAGACTCTATCTGCAAAGTTTATTGTTAAACTGTATTTTATACAGGCACATTATAAGAGGTGGTACAGAGATTCATCCAATAAGAATCACACATTACATAATATAGGAATGAAAAAGGAATAACAAAATCCATATACGGAGGCTTTCTGGAACAAAAGACATTCCTCTCCATCTGTGCCTTGTGGACCAGAAGACAAACTCAATGAAGCCCTTTTTCACAATCTCCATCTCCCCCTTGCACTCCAATACACGAGTAGCTATCAGGGTATCATAAAAGCAGATGTTAATATACAGAGAGAGAGAGACCGAGACAAGTCAGACTGAGCCTATTATTTTTTATATATTTTAGAAAAACCTGCAAAAGGGAGGAAGGGGAAAGAAGTCTGTGCTCTCTTTTGGAGAGTGTGGAAGGCTCTAAAGCTGTGACCTGAACAGAGTGGTGCGTCTTACGCCGCAGCCGGAGCAAGATGATTCAGAGCTAATGCCTGCTCCAAGTCCCTTCAGAATCACACCAACGGCTGACATAGATGCTGCTGACCCTGAGCTGGTGCGTCTGCCAGGCCAGGTCTGTGAAGATGTTGAGTCGTTGGGCAAACGACAAACGCAGATCTGGCGAATCATGAGTCGCCGCCTGTGATAGATCCAGACCAGTTCTGATCTGGGTGACGGAGAGTCATCATTACTTGGGTTTGTTATTTCTGCCATCTTTTATTTTCTATGTTCTATTCTCTATTATTACTTGCAGTTTTAATTCTGATTCACTGCAAGTAACAACTTAAAAATCCAAAATTTTAATTGTATTACTTAGCATCTCTAATAATCTCTCACAGAGATGTTTCTAATAGTTCATTCATTTTTCTTCATTTTAGAAAATGTTAAAAGAGCAAAGCAGTTCATGCAATCTACACGATTCTGATCCAGTGCCTGTCCAAGTTCTATCTGAGATTAAGTTCAGACGCTGTTCTTGTTGAGTCTGAGCCAAGGTTTCTGATCAGGTCAACACAGGCCAATGCAGATCCAGCCACTCCAGAGTTGTTGCCTGTGTCAGATTCATCAGATTCGTCCAAATATACTTTATATTTTAAGAGAATATACTTATACTTAAAGGGGTGGTTGACTGTTTTTTTTTCTAGGCTTGATTGTGGTTATGGGGTCCAGTCTAACATGTGTTAATGCTTCGTTTTAAAAAAAAAAAACGCATTATTTTTTTTAATTCTACACCTTTATTCTACACTGCTCTCTCCCTTCCCCAATAAACGCTCTGATGATTTCCTGGTTTTAAGAAGTCACTCCCTCAGAAATACACGATTGGCTTAGATTGGTTATCTGGCCCAGTGTGTTGTGATTGGCTAAACCGCCAGTGCTCGTCTAAAAGTCACGCCCCTCACCTCAGTGGCATGTGCTCCGGTTGTATTGTAAACAGCGGCCTCATTAATATCGCTTATCAATTTGAGCCCAATTGAGGCACGTGTTTATGGGGTCCAGTCTAACATGTGTTAATGCTTCGTTTTAAAAAAAAAAAACGCATTATTTTTTTTAATTCTACACCTTTATTCTACACTGCTCTCTCCCTTCCCCAATAAACGCTCTGATGATTTCCTGGTTTTAAGAAGTCACTCCCTCAGAAATACACGATTGGCTTAGATTGGTTATCTGGCCCAGTGTGTTGTGATTGGCTAAACCGCCAGTGCTCGTCTAAAAGTCACGCCCCTCACCTCAGTGGCATGTGCTCCGGTTGTATTGTAAACAGCGGCCTCATTAATATCGCTTATCAATTTGAGCCCAATTGAGGCACAGAGGGTATTAGTGAAGAGGATTGTGCAGAACATGTGCAAGCACGGCTCTTAATAGTATGTTTTTTTGTTTGTTGTTGTCTCATACTTTTAGATATGCTGTTATTTGTAAATGCTACTGCTTATGTTAGCTTTTAATTTATGGTTTTATCATGATTAAAGCTTTAATACAGTATGGCAACTGCACGCGCATCCATGTTTAACGCTTCTCATAGCTATGTGAAAATAAGTGTATAATTGGAACAGTTCATTGTTCGATCTGAATGAGAGAAAGAGAGAGAGAGTTGCAGAGCTTGTGCAGAGCAGGTGAACATGAGGAACAGGATTAAGAACCGCTGCTTTAGAACATTGATTTTGAAACTTGTAAATGTATTAGAATCGTTAGAAGGCATTAAAATATGTATTCTGGCTTTAAAATCTGCTGACATACCATTCAGATCTGTAATCTGTACTACCACTACTTTAAATGTCTATAAATGCAATTAGTTGAATTTAAGAGTTTTTTTTTTTTTTACTTTTAATACTTTAATTATTAATTTTAATTAAAGGACTTTTAGCTTTATTTGTACATTCACAATTGCTGTATTAGAATCGTTAGAAGACAGAATCGTGAATCATATATGAATATATTTTTACGTGCTCCCCTAGTTTTCTCTTCCTCTTCTCTAAAGCAGTGCAACATGGCCCCGTCCCCTTTGTTGCATGTTCCCGGGGGCGGGGTTTATCTGGGTTTGTGACATCACAAACCCGGGAAGTAACTCGTTGTAGTCCCAATGAGCCATTTTTGTAGGCATTAAACTGCCAGAATTTTAAAATCTCCGTTTGCATTGAACTTTCAGTGTTGTAACTTTGCAGATATTGTTTATGCTATATTTAGTTTATTGTTTATGCTATATTTTGTAGATATTGTTTAAGCTATATTATGCTATAACATTACACACTAACTAATGTTAAAAAAGTGAAATCACAATCTATTGTCTTTGAAATATGGTTAAAGTGTACTGCTGAATGTACAGACAAGCAATTAATGTGAACTAAAATATACTTTAATGCTGATTACATTTGCAGTATTATATAATTAAATACATTTGTAATTATTTTTTCTAATAATGAAGTTGCAGTTTAATATATTTAAAATATATTTCAACAGTCTAATAACGTGTATTTTAATTAAACCACTTACAGTGGGTACGGAAAGTATTCAGACCCCCTTAAATTTTTCACTCTAAAAAAAGTGAAATCGCAATCAACCACCCCTTTAATATGCAATTCATACTTAAGTATTTCAATGTTTTTATAAACCTAAATGCATATTATTTGTAATTGATTTTAAATGTTTTGTAATTAATTATTAAGTGTTCTGATTAAAAGTAAATGTATTTTAATTGAATTTAAATTAAATTTTGTTTTAATGATTGTTAATGTGTCTTAATTTAGAATGAATATTAAAACGTAATATTTGATCAACTTAAATTACCAGTGTTACAACACTATAAACATGCTTTTTGGCCTAATTTAGTACAATCTTTATTATTATTAGACTTTACAGATATTAATTCTGAGTGCATAGCAGTCATAAACATGCCACTTAAAACATATTATTCAATATCTACAATACTTTAATCTTTACAGACATTTGATCATCTTTAATTTTATTATGTGCATTTTGTGTTAAATAGTCATATAAATACTTATGTTATACAATATGTTACATTTCAGACTCTTGGAAACTAGAAATTTTACTGTCAGGAAAAATAATCATTTATCATGTATTGACCAGCACCAAAAAGTCTACTTTTAGGATTTGAAGTACTAAAAGTGCACATTCCATACAATTAAGCACACTTCTTTTCACAAGGGAATTGTGCTAATTAATGATGCTCTATTTACCAGAAATGTGCAGAAGACACTCATATATATTCTTCAGGTAGTTGTGAACCCTTTGTAAAACTAACCGAAACAGACAGTACCATATTAATTAGCTGCTAAGAAGCTAATTTAATTCATTAAAGTTAATTTATTTCAATACAAAAACCGACTGTAATACCTGAGAAGCGCATTAATGCTTGACAGACAACTTTTTCTGAGATGTTATTAAGAATAGTGAGCCAATACAGCAGTACTGCACATCAGAACAGCATGACTTCTAAAACGCTGACAGCCCTGAAGTCAAGTAAAGAGTTGCAGGCCTGTATTTTAATGCTCTTGACAGCTCATAATTAAGCTAAAACACCTTTATATATAAGATTTCCTCTTCTTTTATTGGTTGACATAGCCTACGCTATAGCCTATTAAAGCAGACAGTTGCATAGTGTTAATGGATGACACACGGACTACATTATCTTTGCACTGAAAGCAGTGGAAGTATCTTGGTCACAGGCAATGATCTGATAACTCGCTGCAGTTATTTGATAATAGGGGCCAGATTCCAGTCTTGGTTATTTATATAACCTTCATTAATAAGACTTTTCTGCAAAGCTTCTTAAGGGGCATGATCCCGGGACAGATCCTGGAGCAGCCCACAGTTAAGTGCCTTGCTTAAGGCCACAACAGAAGAGGAAATCTCTCTCTTAGTCACTTCAGCCTGGAAACCAAACTGGAATCTGTGTGTCAGAAGCCTATAGTCAGACCTACAAGAAGAAGGTAATTAAAATGCACATATTCTTTTAGATTTAGATTTTTATTTTACAATAAAGCAGTGCTAAACATCACTAAGTCACAATTTACCCTTTGTTAAGCTCCACCCTCTTTCTGTTAACATCTAACAGTTACAACTTTTTTTTTAGAATAGGGAGTTTATATTTCTCAATTCTAGGGAAGAAAATAATTATGAGATATAAACTTAAAATTGCAAGAAAAAAGTCTTAAATATGAGATAAAGTTGCAATAACCTTTGTGTATTTATTTATTTATTTTAATCCCATGGTAGGAATGGGTTTCTTTAAAATGTCCCATAAAATTGTTAAAAACAAAAGGGATATTATTCTTATATTATTCTACGTGGGCTGTAATAATGACAATTTTAAGCACAATTGAACTCAGAGGGAAACATCTCTCAACAGAAGCCATGAAAAAAAGTGTTATCTTTCCCCACATTAATAACGAAAATAAATATACACCCTACAGGACACTCAATAACGCAAATATGACACATACTAATGCACATTTCATGTTGAGATTCATAATCTAAACATCGCTAAATTTAATAAAAACATGAACAATAAGCAGTTAAAATGTAAACGTATTTTGAAATGTCACTCTCTTGTGTTTATACTGCTTATTTGGGTTTATACAATACTGTAAAATTCCATGTAAAACATACAAAGAAAGCAAACAGTACATCCATAGACTTACATTAGAAAAACAAAAAACAGCAACAGTTGCTAAAATAGGATTGGTTAGATTGTATTGAAGGTGGTGCTTAGATTAGATTATCAGTTTAGTAAAGAAAAAGTGCATTGGTGTAATTTTAGCAAAGGTCTAATTGCTGCTACAGCGTATTTGTTTTTCTAACCCCAGAATTGAGAACAGTCATGGGAAAAACAGTTTCCTTCAGCACATTTATAATGTCAGGCAAAAAAAAAAGTGTACAACTTCATGCTCACACATTCAAAGGAAGGTTTTAAATACATAATTAGGGTTCAACACACACAAACCTGTTGCACTATAAGAACATTAACAGTAAACACTACACCCAGAAAATCTATGACTGTATCCTTGGGCTGCCAGACACGGTTTTCACCCAGCCACAAGTACTGTGTGAAGTGGTTGGGATTATTTAGTTTAAAAAGAGAGAGGATGAGAGAGAATCCAATAAAGAGGAATGATTAATGAAGGAGATAAG